TTGCGAGAGAACGAAAGAGAGAAAGTGAGGGAAAGAGACATGTAGAAAAGAGAAAGAAACATAAGCTAAGGGAAAGAACGAAGCATAATATTAAGGAAGGAAGAGAGAGCAGGCGGAAGGGACATAGAGCTAGAGATAGAAAGAGATGTAAGCTACAGAGAAAAAAACTATAATGTTAAAAGGGAAAGGGATATAAAGTCAAGTGAGGGGAATGAAGTTAAGAAGAAGAGGGAAAGCTGAAGGGACATAAAGCTAACAGAAAACAGTCATAAAGTGAAGAGAGAAAGGGACACAGAGGTAGCAATAAAGGACAGTAGTCGTAAGGTCAAGAAAAATAGAAAGTGAAAGAAACAAATCAAGAGGAGAGCTACAGAAATCGAAAGGAATACAGAATCAACAATAACAAAGTAAACAAGATGCAGAAGTTAAGAGAGAAACAAACAGAATCCAAGGAGGCAGACAAGAGAACACACAGCTAAGATAGACAGGTGATATTAGGGTGGGCGAATTGTAAAACATGGCGGCTGCAGGAAGGGTTGTTCGTCGACGTCCTCGACGTGTGTGCACGCGCGTAAGCGTTCGCCCCGATACTGGCTAGTATAAGGCGACACAGGTGGGTGGTGTGGGAGAAAGCCATACGAGAGGCAGGAAGGAGACAGAAACGTTGTAAACGCTGATGGAACGCCGGGCCCATCACTCTCGCGCAAATCTGATTACCTTCCACGGTAGTTCCGGCCGTGGCCCGTTCGCCGTCGCCCCTCGGACAGCTCGCACGGATATTGCTGTGCGTGGGTGTGTACAGTGGCCGGAAGTGATTCTTGTTGAACCGGCTCGAAGACGGGGCTACACTTTAACAGTTTGACCGTTGATGAGCGTCCGTCGCGATTCCCCGGGGATGATTGCTTCTCCTTTTTGGCGCGCCGATTGCCATCTTACCCTGGAAAATTTGATTATACGTTGAGTGGTTCAGGATAGTAGTGGCGCGACTCCTATTTCCGAGTCTCGGGATAACAAAGCTTTCGCGAAATGCTTTTGGATTGATAGAATACTATTACGTGCCGTTTATTCTTCCGTCGTATAAAATAATATTGTATTTTAACACATTGTTGACCGTAATTCTATGTAGATGCTATTCTATGTCACCGGTTATTATTCTGTAATTAAATATGAAAGTGAAATCTAAATAAATTTTAATAAACTTTATTCATACATAATGAATTGAAATGAATCTTTGGATATATGTTTCTGCTTTGAATATTTTGCTTTCGAAATATTCTATGTTGGCCTGCGTTTTGAAAATTGAAATGGAAACAATGGGTTAACAGTGTGTTAATAGTAAACATACCGTGACAGGTTTAATTAGTGGTATTAAAATTTGATCCAACACTAGGTGTACAGAACACGTCAATTTGACGCATATCGAATTTTATAAATGTTACTTGGTAAATGGTATCGCTTCGTGATTGCAAAACGTGGCGCGAGTAAAATTGATTCCTTGACCTGTGATTTATTTCGTAATCGTACTTGATAAAACAACTTTGTAGATTCTTTCTCTCGAAAACTCAGAAATAGGAGTTACCACTATTATTCTGGGACGCTGAGTTATTTAATTATGATACAGTAGTGTCTTAATTGAGTCGCTATTTTTCGCGATTTAGATTGTCCAGAATTAAATTAGTATCTCCGAATATATACGTACGTATTTTACAAATATACTTTGTGACATTTCTTCTTATGCATTATTTGTCATGCAGAATTTATCTTATGGACATTGTGAATTTGTTTGTTGGGAATTGATTAGTTTTTCCTATAGTTAATGATTAGTATTTTCTATGGTTAAAAGAAGAAGATAATGATTTATAGATTCTGCACAGAGTCCCACGCAATTGCATCAAATTTCGATTTATCACAGTCGACGGCGGAAACGTATTTCATTGAGAAAGGTCAAATGGTTCCGAATGGTGCTTAATTTTATGCGTAGGCTTGCTTGCGAAGTTCATGAATAATATGTTCGAAGGGTTATAAATAGATATGCTTCGTTATAATTACTGCGTTAGTGAAAGTTATAATAACCCAAAATCATTATCAGAGCCATGGAATATATTACAAGATATATGAAAATATTTAATGTAGATATTATAAAGAATGGAACTTTTTGAAAATTTTCATTCTAAGTTTTAGCTATTACTTTTTCACTGATCATTCAGAGATCTAAACAGAAATTCAATTTTCTGTAAAAATCTTTTGTTTGATCCAAAATTGTACAATTCAATGACAATGAAATCAATTATTGACACATTTGTCAAATACTCTATCTTGCAACACTACACCTATTAGCACAAATTTCGTAACACGTCTCTCCGCAATGATTGCACTGGCTCCAATCTTTCGATGACGGATCAATTTTTCATTGCAATAAATGCAATATTGAAATTTCGAATAACATATTTCAGGCTAGCCACAAATTCGTTCGTTTCGATTCCAACACGTGCTGGTGACAAACAACGGTTTGAAACAATTGACGATATATTGGTTTAAATGTAGAGAAGATAACATTCTTATTATTATTCCTTTCGCCCTGTGATTCTATTCGCCTCGGTCTACCCTACAAAACAAGGAGTACCCCCAAGTCTCAAGAATCGTATTGTTCCAATTTTTAAAAAAATTTGAAAATAAGTCAATCTAATTCCTCAGTAGTTCTAATGTCAATTTAATAAAATGTTACCGCGGGACTGTTACCGAAGGAGATTCTGATAGAAAGAATGGGTTAATGTTTATAACGCGAGAGGTGATAAAGTTGAGTCTCCGCGAATGCGAATCGCTCGCAATCAGGTGTACCGAATACGCGAGCCCACATGTGCGCGCCTCGGGCACGGTGAACCGGAACTTGTCTGGCGGCGGCCGTCTCGAAAATCGAATTCGGTACTTCGCAGGTTTGCCTCCGCCATTGATTTCCGCCTCGTTTCGCCCTCCCTGTCCAGGGAGCACCGGGAACAGAGGAAACCGGGGCCGGGAGAGCCCTCCGAACTGATGGTCGTTAAATGAAAATTGGGTTCGTGAAAATGTGGCGACGACGGTCTCCCGCCAGACGATGGCCGGCAGCCATAGTCCTCTCTTACGTGTCGTTCTCCACGATTACCTTCGGGATATACGTACACGACGCTCTAAAAATTTCGATTCCGACAGTCCGACACCTCACACTCGACGAATTCGATTTTGTTCAGCGTAAATGGAGTTTTATTCACACGAGGAGTGGTTACGAATTATTCTTCTGATGCGTTTTAGGCTATACCTTGAATAATGGGGTTATTGCACTGAACATAGTGCATTTTCTTTACTTTGAATAACTGTATTTTTAGCACGTTAAATGCCATGGGGTTCATCGGTGACTCCCAACCAAATCGAATTACTACAGTTCATTCAATTAAACGATGATTATTTGAGAACATTTCTATATTACAAATAATGCTTCCTAGTTTCGTGATATTAAACTGGAAGAACGAGCAATAATAATAATGCAATTCAATCGAATGGTTCAATATCATATTCTTTCCATTCTGTGTATTTTGCTCTATGAAATCGTGTGGCATTCAACGTGTTAATAAAATAAAGGCAAATTGTACCGTACGAGGATCTTTGTGGTTGATAGCTTAAGTACTAAACAGCTGTCGGTGCGTGTGTTTTGGTTGATTATTGTGTAGTAAACTTTTTTCACAAAATTCATATTAGAAGGAATATATATTCAGGGGTGAAAGGGTTAAAGGGCTGTCGGATATCTTATCTCGTCACGATTTAACCGATTTCCAATTTTTATTGGAAAAGGATATGAGAATTTGGTTAACGTTTTATTTGTGTATTGAGTTAAGGACTATAGTAAGTATCTTAATATTGTTTCAAATTTTCACAAAATACACAACACAATATTTTTACAAAGGACGGTGCAGTGTTATTTTCTGAAAATTTTGTACCGCCCTTCGTTGGAAGGTGAATCAATAAATAATGTAGAAATTTTCGATAAAGTAGCTTCATGATATAAATTTATAACATTTGCCTGGCCTTTTATTTTTTTAAAAGGGCGAAGGTGTTTCGGAATGAAGATCAATATTATTACAAGCTGCACTGCTTCCGAGTAACTAAAACATGAATATTAAATTCAACTGAACAATGGGATTTACTTATCGGAAAATCTGTTGTTATATTAATCCTTTCACTCCACGGTTATCGTGAGTTTAAATACACATTATTTTAATAAGAAGTCACACGACCCTTAGTACTTTCGATACTTATTATTCATTCAACATTCTTACATTCCTGTTATAAACAAAAGAAATGTTTATCAATACATATTTTTCACCCAAAAATATAGATGTCATTTTGGAAATCTCCTTTAAAATGTAAACAGGAATTTCCCAAAAATATAACTTTTTCTATTGTGCCGGGTAATATAAAAATAACTAGAACTAGCTAAAGTATTAATGAATACTTGGGATGATTTTAGGACGCTACCGCTGTCTTTGCGTTAAATAATAAATCCCTTTAGTATATACCTCCATCTATTTTTTATTCAATCAGAGAAGGTGACGCGAGAAAGATTTATTCAACAAAAAAAGGGATTTAATCTTAGAAGTAACGTACCAGCCAAAATAACTGATTCCGATTTTTTAAATTTGCAGTTACTAATAAAAGTGCTAAATACTTGAAGTTATTTAAAGGATTAATAGTTTCACTTACATAATGCATTGAATATCAGCAGAAACTTGAAAAAATGTACTTGTAGAATTTTTATGAGAAATACATATCAATCACATTAATCCTCTCGAGACTTTCTCTCAGAATTAGGTTTGATGAAGCAAAATTATTAAGTTTGATATCCAGTATTTTTGTATGATGCATGAATGCTTGAAACATTGGAACAGAATATTTTTATTCCTCAATTTATGTATAATATCTCTGTCTGTTAGCTTTAAAATGTGTCTGATATTTTTATCCTATTCACTATATTTATAAGGAAAAATAAATTGGCTGCGAATAATTAAATGAGTGGCTCAGAATAATAGCAGTCTATCCTCTATTTTTGAATTTTTGGAAAAACTAGTATTAATAATTAATAATACTTAATATTATTAATAATATTGTAGATATCAATATTACAATTACTAATAGTAATATTTGATAATGATTAATATTATTAATAGCATTCTAATATTAATATTTAATTAATCCAAGAATGTTACACGAAAGTTTTCCTTCTCAAGAGTTCAAGAATAGTAGTCAGAACAGAATTATTTTGAGGCATTCAAACGTTCGATAGCTCCAGTGTTAACTCGCTGAAACATACATTAGATTCTCCATGTGTGTAAAAACCTGTCGATACGTTTCTTTTTTTCTTGGCGTTGTTTCCTGGCCAAGCCGGATGAAATATTCACGCGGCTGAAAGTGGTCACAGGAATGTCGCGTCGTGTACTTTGTTACATGCATTACACCGTGGTCGAATTTTCCGAGCTTTTGCTCCTCAAAGGGCGTCGGTTTCGATACGAAACAACGCGGTCAATTTCGGAAGAGTTTACAAGACTTGTGAGGGTCCGCAGCCGGACGGCAATTTCCTCTTCGCTTTCCGGCGCTGCGTTTGTGCGGGTTCGTCGCCGTGTCCCACCGAAAATATGCGGCAAATTGGTGTCTATACTGCTGCCCGTAAATCATGGTACGCTTGCTTCGTGAAATATGATATAACGCGTGGAGTGACCGGGAAAAGTATTTGTACGGAGATCTGCGAGTTGTTTCCATTTGACGATACCAGTGTATTTTAGTGTTTTAGTGTTTTGGAATTTTGGTACTTTGGTACTTTGAAACTTTGGTATTTTGGTACTTTGGTACTTTGGTACTTTGGCACTTTGGTACTTTGGTACTTTGGTACTTTGGAACTTTGGTACTTTGGTA